TAAAATAAGCTCATAGAATAAAAACAGGCCATGTCCACAGGCGAAGCCAGGAAGGCAGGCTCCCCAATTCTACCTTGCAGCAGGGACTTTGCTGGCAGGGGGAGGGTGTGGGGTGCTGTGGTGCCAGCTCTTCTTGGATGTCCTGCCGTGACTGGCTAAGCCCTGTCAACAGGTGACAGTGGCTCTGCACTGCAGACTCTTGGCCTTGGAGAGAACTAAGTCACTAGGCTGTTCCCTCTGGCTCCTCTTGCTCTGACTTAGCTGGGTACTAGCACCAGGATTGGTGCCAGGGATGGGGAGTGGGGTGTGTGAGATGTTAAAAAAAAGGGGGGGGGAACCAAACATTAGTAAAATAAAAAACAAAAATGGGATGTCAAATCATTAATTTGACTTTTTTTTTTCTTTTTTTAAAAAAACATTGTGTTGTTATCCCAGGCATTTGCAACAGGGGAAGATTGGTTTAGGGGGAAATGCAAAAAACAAACAAAAAACCCCCAAACACCTTAGCTATTAAAAGGCCTTGCAATATAGAAACAGACACCCAATACATCTCTCTAACTGTGGTATTAAAATTGCATGGGAGAGGAGCAATTAAGGGGGAAAAAAAAGTCTGAAAAAGCTCCCAGGAGGGAAGGATAATAACAAACACCAAGTCAGAGGAGACCCGGTTGCCCGAACTAGTTGCAGCCTCTGAGCCGTGTTTGTGGGCTGGGCCTAACCAGGACACTCCTAAGTGCTACCGAAGACTATATTCAACACCCATGGTCAGCTGGCCGGCGCTGCTGCCTGCTGCTCTCTCCCAGAGCCTTAGCATCAGCAGGCTGCCGTGTGCTCAGTGTGGGGCTGGCCACGGGCCGCCCACTCCCACTCGCAAAAGCTTGTTTCCACACACAAAGATCAGGGAGCAGGTGAGGGAGAGCAGCACACAGAAGACAGCTGCTGCACATGTGCTCTGAAGGATGGCCCCCCCTTTTTTCCCCTCAGGCTAGTAACAAGACACTGGGGTTCTTCTGTATTCTCTAACTTGCCTTTTTAAACCCTGTTTTTTCTTTTTTTTTTTTGCCACCCATTCAAAAACAGACTGGATAAAATCGAAATCAGAGCAACACAAAACAGATTTCTTCACAACTGATGCTTTTTATTTGATCGGTGTTGCACATTTCTTGGCCCCAATAGTGTTAAAATCATGGATAGAGTCAAACTGGGCAACCCTGGGCTTCCATCAACCTGCAGTGCATTTGGAGCTGAAGGGGACACTAGGAACACACTTCATTTTCCACGTGAAGAAACCGAGGGAGGCAATGAGGTGCTGGGTCTGACCCAAGGCCGCTGGGTGGGACTAGGCCTAGAAGATTCTTAGGTCTTGCTGTCCATCCCTGGGGTGTCCCGATTTAGGAAACAGCCGTTAGCATAAAAACCCTGCAGCGCAGACGAGGAATTCCATCCCTCATCCTGGAACTTGGGGATTAAAGATGTAACTTGAGGATTTCATCCCCTTTGCTGGGCAGTTTCTAAGAGAAGGGCGGCCTTGCGCTGCCATATGACGTCACTCGGCTCTGGAAACTTAATTTGATTTTAGTGATTTGTTTTTTGTTATAGGTCACCTTTCTGTTAAGGTACATACTTTCCCCAATACCACGGTTTCTGCTCAGTTTCCCCTCAACAGTCTCCTTCTGTCTAAGGAGCAGTGATGACACGGGTAAATTAAGTAAAATCCATTCAGGTAATTAAAACAAAGGAAAAGAACTCATTCTTACCCACATTGAAGTTTCAGCTTCCTCGTGAGATCTTCTGCCCCAGCTGCTAAAAGTGAGGGCTAATAGAGTAAAGGGTTGTGAGGAGTTCTGGGGGGGTGCTGGCGAGGGGGGGGGGCCTCTAGCCCATTAAAGAAACATCCTCTTAAAACAGTTCCAAACTGTAAAATTCCCAGTTCTTGAATTCTGATAAACATAAAAGTTTTGTTTGCCAAACTTCAGAAGTAAACCTACGCCAGATGGTTGACAGCACACACTATCTGAACACTGCTATGACTTTCCAAGTCAAAAAAATTGAGTTACAAGAGGGTCTTTGTCCAAGAAAAAGCACATTTCCAGTAAGTAAATGATTGATGTAGTAAAGGAAAATCCTAAATGCCAGAGCATACCATCACCTTTAACCAGCGTTATTCTCCTCCTCCCTATCCATGTGAGATACACAGCCAGCTAGTAATTCACTTCTGGGGTCAACTAGAAGGTCTGGGTTTTCTGGGCGCATTTCCTCACCAGACACACCCCACCCAAACTGAAAGGGCAAGTGATCCCATTCAAATGCTAACCCCAATTTAGCAGGGTGAAACAAAGGGCCAGTTTGGAGACTAGTGAGTTGGGAATGCTCAGCAGAATTTGCCAGAAATGCCTGGGGTGGGGGTTGGAGGAAGGCAGTGGAGCACCAGTGTCTCAGGTAGAAAGAGGGTCTGAAGCGTCTACACAGCAAAACCCCTTCCCCGGGTGGGTGCGGAGCACCTCCTAGGAGTTCCACATATTCCTCAGTAGTTCTGTGTAGTCCCTAATGGTTTTTCCACCCTGGAATGGGGGCGGGGAGGGGGGTTCTGGGGGGTGGAGAGGAGGGGGGAGGGAACTGAGTGGGGGAGGGGCTGTGTGGATGGGCAACAGACTTTCACAGTCAGAGGCCATTTATACAGAAGAGTGTGTCTGAAAGAGGGCAAAACTACTTGTGTGTTCCTAGATGGGGGCCACCCCCTCCCCAGTAATGAGGTGGGTGTAGTGCTTACAATTAAGAAAGCAAGCCTCCCAATATGCAGGCTTCTGGTTAAAAACAGACCAAGACTGGCCTGAAAAGTGTGTGCTTAGGCACTGAGGACTTCTTTAAACACTTGTTTATTCTTCCTGCAACAAAGCAACATGCTAATTTCTCTAGTGAAAAACCTTGCTCTGCAGGAAAAGGGGTCCCCCAGACTACCCAGTCTGGGAAGAGGACTTCCAACACCGAAACAAGCCAACCCAAACCCTGGCTTCTGTTGCACACTCACTAGATATATTTTACTTGGTGAACTCAGGCTGCTAAGACATTACCAGAGGAAAAACAACACTTAATGCCACAGAAAGGAACCCCAACATCTCTGCTGACATAGAATAGAAATTGCAACTTTGGGGAGCTCATCTCACTTAGGCAATCTCACACATTAAGTCAAAGGCAGGGCACGCCTGGCCCTTCTGCAGGTCCTCGGCAGCCTCCAGACTTCTGACACCTGCCCGCTGCCCAAGGAAGCCCCCTGCTCACAAGTGCCTTCCCAGCACTTCCTAGTTAAGACCATAAACGCGTCCAACAGTCATTAGTCAGCGCCGCAGCCGGCAGAACTGAGTTCCAGGGCACCGAGGCGCCCTTCCTAGGGGAGAGACGGGGAAGGAAGACCATGCACAGTGTTCTTTCTGGCTTCCCTTTTTCTTAAGTCTATAAACCCGACCGATCTTTTCATTTGAAGCCTCAAAACGCTTCGCCCCCCCACTTCCGCCCCCAACTTCGTGATCATCAGACTAGCTCAAACCGGCGCAAACCAAGACGCGCGCGCACCACGAACAAATCAATTTCCATATTGGATGAGGTTTTGTAACATATATTTCACTTCTCAGTCTTTCTCCAGGGTTGGCGAGTAAGGCACACTTTATGCTCCGAAGAAGATGCGTTACCGGACTGCAGCCGTTCTTGTCCTCTGGCAACAGGGTGGTTTCACCTCCAGGTTACAGATTCCAAACTTAGCTCCACCCGAGCTGAAAATGGCGGGTGCGCCGCCTCCCCTCCCCTCCCCGAGGCTGCCCAAGCCGCCGGCCCCTGCCCCCTCTCGACCGACCCAAGGACGCAAGTCCAATCAGACACCTTTCCCCAGCTCGGCGGAGCCGCGCTCTTTGGGGACGCATTGTAGAATATCCTGATGAAAGACGCGATCCCCTCTCCAGCCCCGTTTCTTGTGCCGCTTTATCTTTCCGCTCGGCACCGCCTTGCGGCCCTCTTAGCCCCACTCTTCCATCCCCAGGGCCTTGCGCAAATAGCCCCAGACCTCTCCGGCCAAGCTGCACCCAGCCCTGTCGCCAGATCAGCTGCGCCAAAACCTTAGCGATGCCCCGACGTGACCAAGCTCGCGCCACCAACTCTGGGAGCCTGTAGGGGTACCCCCTAAGACCCCGTACCTTTTCTGCCAGCCCTCCAAGTACGCGTAACTCGTGGGGAACCGCCGGCGAGCCTGGAGAGGTCGCCTCTGGAGCGCGCGGGCAGGTGCGCACGCTCTTTGCGGCGCGCTTGGCCCGGTGCGCGCCCGGAGGCGAGTGGCGGCGGCCAGGACTGGCGCACAGGGGCGGGGAGCCCTGGCGCCGAGGCCCCGCGGCTCCAAATTGGCAGCGTTAGTACCTGGGCTCCGGGCTCCCAGCGCCTTAAAGCGCCGCGCGCGACTTTTCCCGGAGCCCACAGTCTCCGGACTTCTCGCCCAATCCCAGTGTGATTACTTTTCGCACATTGCAACAGTGTCGCTACAGCGCGGCCGCTCTCGCACCGTGAAAGTTGGCGCGCGCACCTTAGAACTACGTTTCGGGCGCCTGCCAAGGCCAACTGGTTTGAGACTAGTGTTTAAGAGGAAAAAAAGCATGTAAAACAAGTGACTTACCCGTGCCTTTTGGGTGTGCAGCTCGAAACCTGGGGCGCGCCGGGGGTTCAGTCGCGCGTCCTGGACACCAGCGCGGAGACCTCAGGCTGTCTCCAGCGGGGCGCACGGAGCGCCCCGCCGTCCAACAAGCCTTTGGCCACCTGGGCGCTGCCGGCGTCCTCCCAGCGTCCTGGGGAGCCTTCCCGGCTCTCCCTGGCCCCCAGCCTCCCCGCTCAGGCTAGCTGAGCCCACTGTCCTCCCGCATTCCTCCTAATCTGCCTTTCCTTCTCCCTCCCTCCCTCTCTTCCTCCCGCGGCTCCCACACCGACCCCAGGTTCCCCGGTTTGGCAACGGGCAACTAACCTGAATCAAAGAAAACAAGGAGAATCTGGACGGCGTCCTCCATTAGTGACGCCGGATGGGGATGGGTCCCCTTTTGGAAGGGGACTCTGGGGATGGGTCGCGGCGGGTGGGCTTCTTCGGCTTGCAGCGGCGCTGCTGCTTCTTCTCCTTTGGCTCCTCGGATTCTTCGGGGTCCCTCGGATCCTTGTCCTCGGGCTGGGGCTCGGGCTCCTCCCCCTGTCTGGGGTTCTGGGGCTCCTGAGTGCTGGGCTGCGCGCGACTCGGGGAGGCGTCGGGGCTCCGCAATCTCAGAGCGTGCAGACGCTCGGTGAGAGATTGGCCGAAGGTGGTGTGCTTTGGCACCACGGGGCCGCGCTCGTCTTCTGGCTCGGTCTCGGGCTCAGTGGCGGGGGCGGTCTCAGGCTCGGTCTCGAAGTCGGTCTCGGATTCGATTTCAGACTCGGACTCGGTCTCGGTCTCGGTCTCAGATTCGTAGTCAAACTCTTCCTCGTACTCTAGGCACTCGGGGAGGGACAGCTCGAGGTCTCCCTCCTCGTGCTCGTGGTCAGATTCGGGGGGCTCGGGGAACACCTGGGCGGCGGAGCGGTGGTGGGCGTTAAGGAAGCTCCGGCGCTGCTGGGCGGCCGCGCGCTGCTGGGCGCGGGCGTTGGAGGTGGCAAGGGCGCGGAGGAGCGCGATGGAGCAGGAGAGCCAGAGGAGCGCGGTGGCTGCTCGGCGGCCGATGGGTGGGCACAGATCGTTGTAGTTGTGGCGAGCTCGGCGCCACTGCTGAGCCCGGGACCTACGATCCATTCTCTTAGGCGCACACCGAGAAGACCACCCGCCCTCTGGCTCTGCAGAGAGCGGCTCCAATGCGCATTGGCTGCTAGAGCCGAAAAAGGTGCACCCCACGAGGTGAGAAGCTGGGTCCGGAGGTCCCAGCCCCACCTCGGTGTGAGGGGAAAAGGGGAAGCACCTACCTTCCTGACCACTCAACTTTCTAAAGCTCCGGGCCCCTGCTTGCCTCTCCGAGCAAGAAGAAGGGATGGGGAAAAAAGGAGAAAAAGTCTCCCTCCGTCTCGGCTCCTCTCTCTAAGTCTCAGACTCTGCAGTCTAAGACCCGGGAGAGGTGCCTCCGCTGGTCCTCTCGCCTGGGAGAGGAAAGAGGAGACTGAGGTGGGGAGGGACGCGGCGGAGAGGTTCTGCAAAGTTGCGCGCCCGGACTTCTGCCGGGCATGTGCAGTAACGAGGCGGGGGCGCCTCCCCGCGAGCTGCGCGGTGGCGCCGAGCCCGTGGCGCAGACCCTAGTGGGCCGGCAGGTGGCAGGAGGGAACCTTGTTTGAAAGGATTTGGGCGAAGCGAGGGGCGGGGGGTCTGGCGGGTGCCAAGGACCAAAACAAGTGAGCGAGCTAGCCACAGGTTAGGGTACTTGGGCAGCTGGGCATGGTTCTCCATGGGCTCCATACCCCTCCCCAACTCCTGGGTAATCGGTAAAATGCAGCTAAAAACCAGACCTCAAAATTGCAGATACTCGGCAGAACGAAACGAGGGGTCTGTGCATGGGTGTTAGTGATCAGCCCTGGGCGATTTCCAAGGGCTTAATAGTTTGAGGATGGTAACCTCAGGCAGTCGTTAATCATGAAACCACCTTTGGCAGATCTGTTATAGTGACTGTAATTAGAGCGTTTCCAAAAAGTACCCCTCTACCCGCCCCCTGCTCCGTCATCTCAATTGGCTAATTACCTCATGGACAAATAAGCGTCTTTCCTAGGAGGACCCCCACAGACAGGGTGATGGTTTGCAAGTCCACAAACCCATCAGTGCACTGTCATGCCATGAGCTCGCGCGGGGGACATGTGCTGGAAAGACGTCTCAGATTAGCTGGAACCACCCGTTCAGGGGAGTCTTTGCTGCGCGGATGTTCAGTGCGTACAGCCCCGTTCTCTGCCTCTGTGGGGCGCTGCAGGCCGGCTCCCTATCCAGGCATTCTTACAGGGTACCCCTTAGAGCTCTTTCATTTCATACACGGATAGGTTTTCAACAAAGCTAATTCATTGAGGGGATGTTTATTGAGTGCCTAGCGCGTGCCAAGCTCTGTTCCAGGTGCTGAAGGTAAAGTTAAAAAGGAAAAAAAACAACAACCCACCACATTAAGGAAAGCCTGTTGAAGGCTAATCTGCTGTTAATTAGAGCATTAAATCACTCAGAATCCCCCCTTGCCCACCAGTATTTAATCCACCTTGAATTCGCCATGAAAAAACTATTGGGTCAATCAGAGCATTGAGGTTAGGTGTTGTGGCTAGACACCCCTAGACTCGGAGGCCAGAAGGTTGGAGGAAATTCGTACATCTCTTTCTCAGCCCTGGAAAATCAAGTGAGCTCCATGTCCCCCTGAAGGGGGATCCCTGGGTGATCTTTGCTCGAAAAAGCGTGCCCCTTGGGAAGCTCTTGCAATCCATCTGTAACCAGACTGCTGTTTCTGGGTTGTGCATGATGCCTTCTTGGTTAAAGTACTGGGTGCCTCCTTCGTCAAAGCGGTGGCGAGTCCAAGGGTAGTGTGATTCAGAGCCACACCATCTTCCTAGAGTCCTCGGATGTGTCAGCAAAGTTGCTCCACTTGGGACGCATGGGTTTTTTTGGTTTTGGTTTTGTTTTGTTTTGTTTTTGGTCTTTGAGTCAATATGGGGGAATATTGGAGAGGCATGACCTCTTGTAATTCTGCTTTCCCTTTTGAGGTCGTCCACCGGGCTTTCCCTCCTGGTACTCCCTTCTTGATGGCTAATGAGTCACGTGCCTGCAGCTGCCACTCAGCATAGTGGAGCTGGTCCTCATCCCTTCAACACCATGCCCACATATAGCGGTCACATCCCGAGTGTAGACCTTAGCAAGCTTCTAGCAAACGCCTTTGCCGTGTTGAGGTTTTTTTTGTTTCTGCATCTTGGCTGTGGACGTTCTTGAATGTTCTTGGCTTCTTGGCTGTGTCCATCTTTTGTCTTGTGTTCTTTGAGTTACTTTGTAGTATTAAAATACTGATGGCTCTAATAAAGTAGGATTGATTTGGCAAACCCCATAAAAGGACAAGTGTCTGTTTTCTAGTGTTGCCTGACTCTTAACATGTTGCAGAGACACTGAAAGGGTTTTACTATCACAAGTGCCTGGTTCCAGTCATCATGGGGGTATTAGTATGGGACACTGGACGGGCTGTTTGCAGCTGCGCATCTCAAATCCTTATCTCTCAGCCCCCATCCAGGAGGAACATCTCTAAAGGTTTTGCCCACATCGACCCACCTGCTTTATTTCTTTCAATTAGCACAGCCCCACCGATGGTGCATGGAACATAAAGACATTGTTCAGGTGATTTTTCAAGGCACAGTGGGAAAAAAAATCAGGACTATGTGGGTGCTGGTGAATGCCCTTTCGATGGAGACAAACGCCGGCTGTCAGCAACGAGGTGGATTATGATTCTCGAGTGTTCGTAAGAAAGCGCTTGGTTTTGCAGAAGGAGTGCTTTATGCTTATAATGGAGACGGCAGCCCCGAGCTGATCCGCTAACATAGATGCACCGAGATTGCCTGCACTATTAACAAATGTGCATTGCATAATATGTATTTTTGGACTAGATTCTGCATTAGTAATGCACTTTCTTTGCAAGATGCATTTTAATCAGCAAATGAACGTTTAACAAAACACTGCATTTTAGAGCCCTAGTCCTGTATAGTTACAAATACATTCTGGTGCACATTCCACGCAGGCTCCGGGAGGAGCAGCAGGACCATGCTGAAATACTGCTCCATCTCGCACTTAGGGCCGAGGTCGAGCAAATGGATCTGTGCAGAAAATGCTGTTTAAAATGCATTACGTGCACGACTTTAAAAAGTGCTTGCTGCAGAGTGAATTTCAAAAAGGAGCAAGCGGGTTGATGAACGACCTCAGGTTGTTAGCGGCGGAGGAACAAGGGGCTCTGTCTGTCTGCCGGTCAATAAAGTGTGGTCTTATGTCACCTTCGGGCTCCGCCGGAGGGAGGCTCCGGAACCTGTTGGACAGGAAAGTGTGGTTCCCCGTTCATCAGAGCATCATACAATAAGGTTCTGATTGGGATGAATTGTGGAGAATTTTGTCTTCAGGCCCTTCAAGGACTGTCCTGTGGAACAGGCAGTGAGATGTATTTTACGTGGCTCCAGAGGGCAAGATTCTAACCTATGGGTAGTAGTTACAACAGGCAGATTTCAGCTCAACCCAAGGAAGAATATTCTAGCAATTAGGGCTCTGAAATGGAATGGCTGTGAGGAGGCAGTTGGCTCTTTGTCAGAAGCGGTGTTAAATCAAAGGACAGATGAGCACATACTGGAGATGTTTTCCATGGGACTCATGAGCTGGGCAGAGCTGGAACTCGATGCGCGCCAAAATTCTTTTCAACTCGGATCCTGATGCTGTGAGAGGCATTTGGAGACCTTGGGAGAGGGGCTGGGGGCTCTACTGATGGACGTGCCCTTCCGACTCTGCTTCTATTTTAGAAGCATTTGAAAGTGCAGGCGGCTCAGTGACAGGAAGGAATGTTCGGGTGGCAGTTTCAGGACATGAGCAAACAGGTGTATGCCTAGGGAACCAGCGGGGCTGGGGTGCGTGGCTTTCCTAATCGGGCTCCGAGGCGCTTTCCTCCATGGCTTTCTTGTTGGAGCAAAGAAAATCGTCAAATCTGTCTGTTCATTCCGTCGGTCCTCTGCCTCCCCTCCCAGAAATTAGGAATGAACTTGGCTGTTTGGCAATAGGGAGTCGAGTGACTTTCCGTGAGCAAGATGCTGTCCTGGGCCCTGGTCGGCGGGTGGGGGGTGATGGTCACTGAGTCACTGAGAATGTACCACAGCTCACCCTCCAGCATGCGTGTCAGCGCAAGGTGCCCCCAGATTCGAAAAAGCAGACGCCAACAGGTGCGGAATGATAAACCGTGCGCGAGGCCCCTGAGCCGCCAAGGGCAGCGGGTGACTGCACATACGAGCAGAGGGGAAGCCCGTCTGCTGGGTTTCAAAAAGGTGGTCCCCCCGTTCCCCGGGTCTAACTTTTTTGAGATTTTCTTGTTTTTTAAAAGTTCAGGAGAGGATTGCTTCCCATCCATCTATTCTGGTGAGCCCACCGTGTACATGGCCTGTGCCGGGTGCTCTGGGGGAGACAGAGATGAATCACACTGAGTTCTCAAAAGGCTTGACGGGTTTTCATGGGTCCCACAGACACCAACAGAGTTTCCAAGGGGAGAGGCGAAATAAAAGATTGGTTCTCCTCTGCCAGGTGAATGGGTATAATCATTCTTGAATGTAATTTTTTGGACAATCATTGGAATGGACTGTTTTTTCAAGATGGAGAGCTTTTCAAACTTTCTTTTGGGTAGAAATGAATTCAGGGAGTTTGAAGTATTCCCCACCCCTGACTGTGGCAATCAGCCAGAAAATCTCAACCCCACTGAGAATTGGCATTGCCCGCACCCTCCAAGAGGTCTGGGCGCAGTATGGAAGCACGTGGCTCATTTCTCCGGGGCGCTGTTTCACTCTTGCTCAGCCAGCACTGAAAGCAGTTGGCTCTGGCCAGTGCAGTGGTGACAACCCCAAGCTCCCGGTTTTGTGGTTTGGGTGGGATGCCATCCAGAGCTCAGGCAAATGATGGGGTGAAATAATCATCTTTTTGACATGGCTGTATTCTGTCCAGGCCATCGCTGGGATTATAATACTCTATTCGTGCCCTTGGTTTTTAAGCGGAGACAGGATCAGAAGTGAACCAGCTTCCCGTGTACAGAGCTGTTAGGAGTTGTCCTCTCAGGAATGGCCTTTCTCTCCCTGGGATTTGTGCCTTACCAGGGTTGGCCCATCCATCCACTGGCCATTTACCTCTCCACCTGCCTGCCCGCCTCTGCCACGGGGCACTCTCTGGGCTCCTCAGCCAACAGGGAATGTCTAGAAGCCCCTCAGTTAGGCAGAGTTTAAGCCTAGGCACCGGGGCCCTTGTCGGGCGTGGTGCCGCCTTTGCTCCACTTCGGCTCTAGCTATTG